GTAGTTGATATAGTGCATGCACTGTCTATTATACACATCTAGATTTAAAGTCGGGCACTCACTGCCCCCGGCGGTCGTCGACAGACGCGATGCTATGAAGGAACGCAACGCGACGACGCGTGCGGAACTGACCGTTTTTAATGACGATTCATTCAGACGATCACCGACAATCAGCAGACGGCGGCGCTAAACGACGATCACCGACAATCAGCAGACGGCGTCGCGTCGTTTAGCACTCACAGGGAGCGGAGTTGGCTTCGTCGTACGTCCGTCGTACGATGCAGTGAGTTCCCGGCTTTATAAAGGTCGTTCACAAAAGCTGTAATTGACGAGATACTTGATTCTTGACAAGGATTAGATGAAATATAGGTGGCTAAATGCACTAATAATAAATAAATATAAATATGGCTGAGGGGATTTAAATTCGTTATTCAACGTGTATATTTAGTAGTAATTGAAACATATGCAATTTATTAGACGGCAGAACAGCCGGAGTCCAGCCATTTGAATTTTCCATAAAGAAACTGTCTATCTGATGCAGCACGGGATGATATAAGGTAAATTGTATTTATATCGGATAACTTTGGAGTATTGAAGGGAGTAGTGCAATCAACAAAATTCACACATCACCAATCATCAAATCATACCAATACTTGTAGGGAATCTTATAATAATATAACTTTATTGCTATATTTTTATCGATGGCATAAACATAATTTTTCCCTCATTTATGATCGACTTGATGTTATTATTCAGAATTATATAATTAATGTATACAAGAAGATTATGTCACTGACCATGCGATCATGATAACAAATCTTGTAGGTCTAATTGATCATTCGGATGTATGCCTATTATAAATATTGTATAATTCTGAAATATATCACTGACCAAAAGGTCATAATTCAATCGGATCAAGATATCTCCGAAACGGATTGAAATATGTGTCAGCAAATAACTAATTCCTTGAGAAAGTGACCGCGCTTCCGACTGGCGGACTGGCGTTGCATCGGGTAGTCGCGCACTCTGAGCCCAGACCAATATGTCGCCCGAAGTTAGCGTCAAACCAACTAGTATCTGTTGACCGTCAACAGAAAGTTGGATGGTCAAAACGTCCCCTAACCCTTGTGAACCAGGCTTTGCGCACATACATCCGGTCCTGGTGATGGTTTTATTTACAAACTTGCAAGAAAATAAACTGTAGTGGACGATTGGCACGGGGATTGGCATAATAGAATTAGTCTAATTCCATTATTCCGCTTAATTTGGAGGCATAGGCCTACACCATCACATGTAGCCTACTTTTTAAGAACTAGGAAAAAGGCCTAGGGCATTGGCGGAAAGTAAAAGTTGCAAGGTAGGCTAAAATTGTATTTGTCTTAAGTTTATTGTTTGTATGTAGTTATGAATTCAGTAAGATCCGTGGCATAACGTTTCTAGAAAACGTTTGTCAGGAGCACTACTCTGGATTGGTTAAGAGAAGATCGGAATACATGCTAAAAAAATTAAAACACTTTAAATTCCGGCAAGACCTTCTATTGTGTTGAGTTGAGCCAGTGGCGTATCTAGGGAAGGGCGGGGGG